ATGGCCCTTCTCGCACGCGCTGATGGTGCTGTTGAAACTAATGACATCTGGATCGGCTCTGGTCTGTTGCATGTCGTGTAGAATCAGCAGTGCCAACTGCCACTGCCCAGATTTCTCACAGGCGCTAATGGCGCAGTTGTACGTAATCTGATTCAACACACACCTTGAGACAAGAACCTCTGCAAGGAGGGTCAGTGCCACCTGCCACTTCCGGGCTCTACCACAGGCACTGATTGCGCTGCTGTAAGTGACCTGGGTGGCTTCGGAGCTTGAAGCAGCGATTTCTGCGAAGAGCTGCAAGGCAACCTGCCAGAGGCCACCGCCTCTGTCACAGGCGGCTATGGCGCTTGTGTAGCTGTACACATTCGGTGTCATTCTTCGCGCATGCATGTCCAGCAGCACGAGAACCGCAGCATCCCACTTCCCCGAGCGGCTGCAGGCAGCAATCGCACTGCTGTAGGTGGCAATCCCAGCAAAGATGCGTGTACGAACTAGCTTGTAAAGGAAGTCAAGAGCATCCTGCCAAGGCAAGTTCTTGACTTCCTCACTCCCCATGCTTCCTTCAACGTCTCGCGCAGACTGCTTCCGTGGCTAAGCCATGTCTCCACCGACTACCTGTGGCCAGTCTTGTTGTCACCTTCCCAAGCCTTACGGACCGGCGCCCCGGGCATACTCGGGAAGGGCTCAGAGACGCCCAGCCATGGCTTCAAGGCCACACCCAACTAGCTTTCGCGCTGGAGCCGAGCACTTCTACGCATTGCTCGTGATTTTCTGTCTAGGAGTCTCGGAAGGGTCACACGAGGGCACTTGGTGGGCCCAACCTCGACGGAATCCTCGTGCAACCTGCAGACCCAGCAAACGAACTATTCATCACCTCTTCGAGGATCGGTGTCAGCGGGTCCAGCCTCTCTTCGTCCTGCGTGCCCAACCAGGCCTCAGACGATGTGACTCGACGCGTGCCCCGCAGTGCCCAAGGCTCTGCAGCTAGGCAGCGGGGTCTCGGAGCGAGCGCACAAGGAGGTCCTGAGAAAAGCAGACTCATTTGGGATGAGCGCCACCGAGCAGTTTGTGCACCTGGTTGGCCAGCAGCTCGGATGAGGTCTCCGGGCGGTGCTCCTTTCCGATCTTTCCGGTCTTAACAAGTTGAGGGGTCAGTCGAACGAACTTGCACTTCGTTGCAATTACTTGCAAGTTTGCTCAAAACACACAACACCCGACCAACACCGAAGACAAGTATCGACGACAATGAGAAGCAAAGAAGTGCGACTCCCACAAAAGGTCAGACATGGCAGGTGCAGAGAAATGTCAGCGCTGCAGATGGCACAAGCCAAGGCCCAGACGCCTGCCAAATTATCATCGTAAGCCCAAAGTGTTCGAATCAAAGCTGACAGAAAGCAAAAGGCCAGAGGCAGATTGATTTACGTACAACTCGACATTCTATAAGCTACTAGTTGTGATGAAGACCTTGACTGTAACAATTTGATAAGTATGCACGACAACAGATTGACTTCATGAGGCTTTGGCTCAGGTTTGTGACCTGGGCTCTCTGTTGACATTCGTAGCTGTTCGAAGTTTCGGTAAGATTCGGTAAGCCGAAAGCTGGAAATGCTCGTCGCAGGCAACCCATCAGATCCTACCCTCTTCGATGCCGTACGGAGTGATCGCAGTATGCACCAGCAGCCCCTTCCCTCCAAAACACAGCGACTCACAGGTTCTCGAAAGCGCTCCATCTTGAAGCCACTGCTCTGCTGCACTGCGAGAATGTCCGAGGATGACAGGAAGCTGCCCTGGTGGCACGAAACGTCACCCCTGTCTTGCACTTGCCGTCCCTTTCCAGCTGAAGAACGTCTGAGGTACACGGCCCCAAACAAGCCCTACATGGGGAAAGAACCACGGTAACTTCGGACTCCGGGAGCCCAGGAAAGGGGAGACAGGGGCCCAAGGGGCGCAGTAAGCTCAGGATCTCGACTCTGCGACTTCTCTCGCAGCCGCGGCCACTCGGCAGCAAAAGGAATCAACTTCGATCATTGTAAGGGCTCGAGGGCAAAGTATCGAATGGCTCGGGGCTTTTAGACAAGCTGAACCTATGCTAGAGCCCGAAAAGCCTGTTCCCTCCAAACCTTTGGCCACCCTAAACCCTAAACCCAGACAGCAGCCATATGCGGAAAAAGTGACGTGGGACAATGAGCCACAAGCCTTAAGCAAGCCGAGATGCGACAGCCAGGACAATGCGAGTATACGAATCGCTTCTGTCTGGACCTTCCTTGTCCTCCTCCAGCATGTCCTGTCACTGTGGCAGAATTCCGATGACTTACCTGCTAGTAGATCTTCAAGCCTTGCAGCAACGGAAGCCGACAGGTCTCAGTAATCTCATAGACATCCCTCGCCCCACACCACACGAACGCCGTTCCTCCAGAGTTGACTGCGAACCTGAGCGTGCGGCATCCGTAAGGTGTCTGTAACTTACACCGACAAGTCAGGGTCAGGTCCACCTAGCTCGCAAGCAAAACTCTACAGGTCCGCGCTGTCCACTTCAGGCAAGAAGCCGGACTGTGCCACTGCATTTCCGGCAACATTGTAGGCTTCCTGCAGTGCGAGGGCCATCCTCTTCTGCCCATACACAGGACTCTCGAAACAACGTATTATATTATATTATATTATATTATATTATATTATATTATATTATATTATATTATAGTATAGTATAGTATATTATATTTTATTATATTATATTATATTATATTATATTATATTATATTATATTATATTATATTTTATTTCTTTTATTATATTATATTATATTATATCTTATTATATTATATTATATTATATTATACTATATTATAGAGAGTAACTTGAGTCCTGCCGCCGGCCCTTGGTTAACAGTGCGGGATGGCCGAAGTGGAGCTCCAGATAGTGGCTCAATACGGCCAGAAACCGGCTGGAGGAGCTCCGCGCAAGCTTTCCTAGCAGCCGCAGCTGGAGGCTAAAGCATCGGGAGACACAGACAACAGCACACTGCCGCCGAGATTTTACTTCGAAAGAGCCGGACGCATGCTGCAGATTTGCTTGTAGATTTCGGCTCGGAAAGAATTTGCGACGGCTGCGCAAAGACTTAAAGAGTGAGGCTGTGAAGACGTTGTATCTGGCTCTGTCACAAAGCTTTTGTCCACAATTGGCAATTGCTGCACTTACCTTTTGGCCCGTGCAGGAGTACAGAACACAATCCATGCCAGTGTGCCGTGCGTTGCTAAAAGCCTTGCTCGTCGTCGGCGACATGCTGACTGCATGCGGCAAGTCTCGCTTATCTCACTCCCGATAGCCCCGGTCTAGATGTCAGGGCTGTCAACTTCGTCGGATGCGGGTATAACTGGTTGTTTAATAATACTATGCACATTTCGGATCGTCGCTTGGCATGTGGAATGGGACCAATCTCCCCAGTAGCACCTTTGGGGATGTTTTCCAAAAGCATGTTTAGTGACTAGTGCTTTCGCCATGGCGGAATGGCAGGAAGCTGGCTTTCCTTTGCTCAAGCTAGCGCTCCAGAGTTCGAGTGCTTTTTGTGTGTTGCAGGCATGCAACTGCCTTGACTTGTCCCACGTTTTGAGTGGATGGTCATTCCTGGTTGTGGGGTCATCTTCTCCTAAACGCGTCCGAGATCTCTCTGACTGGACTGGAGCTGCGAAATCAGGCCATCTGGCCTCTTCGGGCTGCAGCGGATCCGCGAGCAGTGTCCACCAGCCATTGCGGTGCGTCTGCGCACGAGCCGACATCACTAACGAAAGCCTAGATCAAAGACAGCCGAAACGGGCCTCCATCGGATGTGGTTACCGGATGCTGTGCGGCATCGCCACGGCCAGGCAAGGACATTGCTCCATCAGGCCACAAAGCGGAAAAGGCGCAGATGTTTCTTGCGAGAGGCTGCTTCTGATGGAGAGGTAGGGTCTTTTTGGAAGGAACCCGCAGCAGCGGGCAAGAGCTGGTGTCTGAATTGCAGCCATTCGGACCATGTTTACCACCCGTGCCGAAGCTCAAAGCATTACGGACAAAAGCACATCGCATCTGCAACCTCGAGATAGCGGTCAATGACTTTGACAGAAAGGCACGCACGATCGCCCCCCGGGGAGCCTCTGCGTGAGGCTGTTCCTCACCGGTCAAAGCTGTGGCAGCACTCCAGGCCGGCGCCCGAGGGCAGAGACTCTAAGGCTCCAGCAGCCACTGCAGTGGACCAGCTCCTGCGAGATGAGAGGGAAGCCACTCTGAGAAGCCTTTCTTCTCACTGCTTAGCCCTGCCAGTGTCCTTTGTGCACTCGTAGGACGTATGCTGCACCAACAAAGGCGAAGTCTCCGCCGTAGTGGCGCCTGTGGCACTTGCAGCTTTCAGACTCTCAGAAGCCAAAACTTTCGCGATGATGTCAACGAGACAGGCTCAACTAAGGCCTGGACGGGATGCCTTTGACTTGTGGCGTAAGCTGTGTCATTGCCCTGCACACGGTTGCTCCTCGACCCGTGAGTCCCATGTCCCGCGGATTAGGCTGGCCTCTGCATCCTGCGCTGCAGGACTAGCCGCCGGTCACGGCCTCGCGAAGTCAGAAGTTTGATTAAACACTGGATGTACAGTGGAGTCACGGGAGCTTCAACATTCTTGCCTGACGGCGATGTCGCATCATCGTAGGCCATTGCTTCAGTCATGACTTCCAGTTTGCTCACGGCTTGCCTGGCAGCATCTCATACTACTAGCAGGTCTAGTCGTTGACATATCTGGATCAAGCTAAGGCGAGAGTCAAGTTCAAGTTGCTGTCACCAATTTGAGGCCGCCCGTGTCATGCTATGGCTATGGGGCTGTTGGCGAAGGTGCTTCCTTGAAAGCAAATCCTTGCTTCGTCGTGAACTCCTTCGAGCCATAAACACAGAAAGCCGGCCACGCAACTAGACTGTCACCAACTGTCTGGCATTGACTCAGAAATCAGAACTGCTTCCCGGCTTCGTGGGAGCGGCACCAGAAGAGGAATGAGCTCCGAGTTGCTCAAGCTCTCCACCAAGTGGTCCTGCAGGCATCAGCTCCAGTTCAACATCGCACTCTCAGCTTCTCCCATTTTATCGAAGTCCGATTGACATCAGGTCGAACTCTTTTCGAGCCTTGCTTGGTATCGCCGTTCTCTGGGATTCGGGCTGCGTTCGAGGCTACGACGGAGACGCTCAAGTCTGCACTGCAGTCTTCAAAGCCCGTTCTGAAGCACTTTATGACGACATCACAACCTTTACACAGGAATTAATGATATGCTTCCCACCGCCCGTTTCAAGCCGGTGCCGCCTGGCAGGCTGGAGCCAGAGTCAAGCCATCAGCGCGTCTGGGTCCAAGCATCGAGACCTTCCAGACAGGGGAGCCAGTCTGCACCTCTCCGGATTGACTTTTTTATCACCACTTATGCGGCTACAGAAGGCTACAGTAGCGCGGTCCCCTGTGCTTTTCTTGTCGCTGCGGTATCGAGCGAGAGACGGCCCGCCAAGGAACTGCACGAGAAACCTTGAATCATACACTTGCCGGATGCCTTATTGTCTTGACTTCATGTCGCTGGATGGTCATGGCAACAACAAAGGACTTTGGCAGTGGCCCTCTGTGGCGATAATGACAGCAGTAGCAATATGTTGAGCAATGACAACTATACTGAAAATAACGGCCCTACTGACGAAAAGAATGCAACGACATTGCTGGTGGCGGTGACAAGGCAATCATCGCAACAGCAACAATCATGAAAAGACCAACAAAGCCGGAATAGCAAAAGCAGTAGTCTTAGTAAGACCAAGACTAGCAGTCAACGTCCCGATGGTGCAAGAGATAGAGATAACAACAAAACTTCTAAGAATGACAATAAAAAGAATGACACTATCACTATTGTTGTCGGTACAACTGATGTTGTCGTTCTGCATCTCGCGTGCTTTTCCATGGCAGAAAAATGGAAACCAAGCGCATTCGCTCGCGGAAAGCCTCGGGGAAATGCTACTGATCAGACGGGCTCCTGCGTGGGTGCAATTTCTAGCACATTGCGGTGGCTTCATTTGATGTCCATCACAGAGCCCGTCTGGTTGCTGGAGCCGCGGAATTCAGTGCAAGACTGGATCCGGAATGAAACTAGGTAGTCACGACAGTTTGGCTTCTGCCGGCTGTCAGGAGGAGCTAAGCCGTCAGCACATGCAAAGAGAAGACGCTGTGCCACGATTCAGCTGAGACCTTCAACCTCAGCATGCGCAGAAGTCCATGGGGATTCTGCCAGAGCTGCTAGAGTTAGGGCCCAAATCCTCAACCCCAAAATATAAATATCTAAGACCCCAAAGGCCCTAACACCGACATTCCGTGACCTGCGGCTCTTGGTGGTCAAGCGGCCCCAACCACACGCGGAGCCACGGCCTGAGCCCATCGGACTCAAAGAAAACCCTACAGAGTTTCGGGTTTCGGGTGTAGGCGCTTTAGGGTTGAATCTTATTGGTCCTTATGGTTTATTGTTGCTCATTATTGCTGCTGCTATTGTTATTTGGATCATGGACGCATGCCGGGGCTTCCACCGAGTTTCTGGAGATCCAGGACAGAATGGCCTTCGAAGCAGGGGGCATATATAAGGGCAGAGCCTGAAATGCGCTTTCGAATGAGGGCAGGGCTGCCAAGTTTCCAGGGCCCTGGTACTGCTTGAAGACTACACCGGAACCTTGCAAGCCATTCACAAGAGCAGCTGCACGCATCAAGCCTGAGACTAAGTCAAGAGAAGCTGGATGCCACGAGTCCAGACTGGCTGCTCCTGCACACTGGCCCTCTCAGTGAGCTGCAACGCCCGCAAAAGTAAGCAAGATGATGCTCGGTACGAGAGACACTGCACGGTAACCGACTGGCAACGGCCAATGTTGGTATGGAAGGGCTCGTTCCTCTTTGCAAGGACTATCAGGTGAGCTCGTGTATAGTGTATAGACTAGGAAGCAGCGCCACTGGGACAGTGAGCCATGCTCAGTGGCAGGCTGAGCACGTCCGCAGCGCCACTCTCCTGGCAATGAGGCAAGGCTACTGCCGACATGAGCCTGGTAAAAAGCTTACATTGAAGTCTTGTGCGGAGCTTAATTAACTATGTTTCGATGACTACTCAGCCTGGGTAAGCTGCGGAAACCCATCACCCCTGCCTTCGGAAGGCACAGCAGCAGGGTTGGGAACCTGTTGCTGTCAAGGCCGCAAGGCTTGTGAACACGTGGCTTGCCACAGCGATCAGGTTTGCTGAATTAAGACTGCTGCTGCCGAATGGGCGGTAGTTCCGGATGCCTGCCACGAAGGGTGCAAGAGTTGCAACCATCGTCACAAAGCCCCGCAGGTACTGACACAGCTCGTGCAATCCATCAAATAATCGGAACAGGCTGGGACGACTCGTTCTGCATACCATCCATCTGCGCCATTTGCAGGACCTGAACACGTCTGAAAAAGAAGCGGGGTTCGAATCCTTGGATAGCATCCGAGACGTGAAAAACCACGTCTGTTGCCAAGCACGCTACCGGCGCAGAGGCATTCAGGGACGGACCTTCAAACTAGGCAGTGCCAACGATGAGGCCAGCAGCCCTTCCTACATCTACGACGCAACCCGGGCAACGAGCCTGTCATCGCATGCATCGCATCAGTGACTTGTCGCCAAAGTGCGAAAAAATGTAGCCTGGGATCTGACCCTGCCCATCACAAGAACGTTTGAAAGTGGCATCAGCGTCTGAGTCTGCCACGAGTGGCTGCAGAATGGCGCATAAACGAGCATCAACACCTGCAACAGCGGTTTTCAGAGCGACACTACAAGCTTCTACAAGTAGGCCCGTTGGGTTTGGGGTGGCTTGGGAGGCCCGGCCGACGCACCTCGGCCCGGCGCTGCGCAACGGCTTGGAGCACCTCCACCTCCACGGAGGAGCCGAAGAGCTCCTTCACCTAGAGAGAGGAGAGGAGAAATTCTCTGGGTCAGCACGGAAGATAGCACCTAGAGCAGAGAGGCTGCGGCAAGGGGGCCAAGATGTTCTGGTTTAGGCGAGTGAAGCATGTAAATTCGAGAGGCTCTCGCAGTCTTGACTGGCAAACCATGGCAAACCAACAATGATGTTGAGTTGGCATGTGGGTGACCGAGGTCCGCACCCCTGGCGAAGCGACATCAGGCTCTGGAAACCTGTCTGCCAACATCCATCTGCGCGCATACAAGCAGAAGGCACTTCACCGCGTGCCTCTTCGTGGAGCGGATCTGAGGCAAAACCTTCCCGTCCTCTGCAAGGCAACGAGTCAAGGCAAGGTGTGATTGGGCCGTGGAAAACGCTCAGCAGTCCAGGACAGCATCCGTGAAGAGGCAAAGGGCGAGCTCATCGCCCGGGCACCAACCTGCAAGGCAAGGGCTCGGAGGTGGACGATAGATCCGACCGCGGAAGCGCCAAAAAGGCTTCGGATTTCAAACAAAGTGCAGAGTAGTTTACTCGAACACATTTAGTATGTGTTCCCACAGCGCGGAGCAACGTCAGAGCTTTGGAGATCTTTCGCAAGCTACCGCTACCTGCACAGTGCTTCTCGACTCAGACCAGCGAAGCTGATTGACTGACATTGCGAGCCACAACATATATGGCCTGCGCCACCAGGGGCGGGATATTTCCTGTGCAAACTATGCTTTCGAATGTGCTGTGGAGTGATGACTCCCAACGTAGAAATGCGTTAATGAGCATGTGGGGTTGCTCGAAGCAAGGCTTCGTCCGAGCTTCAAATCATCTATGAAAAGCTCCCAGAAATCGATACAGTAAAATCTTTACAGGTACCAATCTACAAGGAAGCCCACCCGAATCCTCTCTGCAGAACCCCACCGCCGTTTGTTCCTTCGCGTGCGCGTGTTGAAGAGCGAGGTGGCAAAGAGGACCAGCCGCCGTCGACGGCCAGGCTGGGAAGCCAGCATGGTGGGGGGTTTCGGGTTGAAGTTTAGGGTTTAAGGGTCTTGGGACTTCGGGGGGTCGTCGGGACTTGTGAGCTTCGGGACCCTCGGATATGTTTCTTTGAACTAGGGGCTTAGGGGTTTGAAGGGCTTTAAGATTTACGTTCGAAATTTCTAGCTTCAGAAGATCTCGCATCGACGCCTTCTTGAACTCTGTATATTCTGTCTACCTACCTGGCTGCAGCCTACCTACCTGCATGCGTGCATGCACACGCATGCATGAATGAATGAATGCATGCATGCATGCATCGATGGACGGACGGATGGATGCCGACGCATGGATGCATAGATGGACGTGCCTGTGCTTGTACATGTACCTATCTACGGCTGTAGCCATAACTACACGACTGGGTGCCTTTATCAACCCGTTCATGGATGCACGCGTGTGTACGTGTATCTGCTACTCTTGCTGGAAGGAGATTGCAACCTCCCTCCTACCAAGACGATGATAATGATGATGGTGGTGCTGACGGTGACGATGATGAAGATAGTGACGACAAGCTGACAATTCAACCTCATGTTCATCGCCTTCATCGTACGGTCTGCTTACTTTTCATCCGGGGTCTCCATGCGAGATTTACATTTCGCAGAAGAGTTTTCTCTGACGTCGCGTGTGTCGTAATCGCCTCGGGCTGCAGAAGAAACAGGCCAACTCCCGGCGACCTGCCTCGGTGTCCTCGTTGTCGGTATCTTGCAGTGCGTGGCAGCCTGTCCTGTGGCCCGATGCTTTTGGCGGCCCGTGGGAACAAGGACTCTGATACGGGGCTCGAGAGAGTGAGCGGAATGGGATATGACGGCACCGACGACATGCAAGGAATTTCGCTGGCTGCGGAAGAAGCACTGGCGATGTCACTACGCAGCATGATCACACTAGAATCCAAAGCCTTCTTGGCTTCACCTATTCTCATGCCACCAATCCAAAAAGAAGAAGATATGCATTGACAGGCTACGAGTCATGGAACAACAGCACCACGCGCCTCAAGTCTCCGCCTTGCAGGCATGTCAACCAGTGCGTCACACTGCACGGCTGCATTGAGTTGAAATGACAGATGCTCTCGCAAGACAATTAAAATGGACGGTTTGGACGGTCCCTTTGAGGCTGTGAGTCTGCGTCCTACTGCAGTGCTGCAGCTGGCTGGTTGGCAATGTGCCCAGAAGAGCCTTCTCCTTGCCGTGGTAGCGGAAGGGCAGGGTCCTGGCTTCACGAGGGTTACGGCCCTTGGCATGCGAAGGTGTCGCAGTCTCAGAAGACCAAGGCCCTGACCTGCGGCCCGAGGCCAAAAGAGGCCCGAAAAGCCAGAATGTCCTGGAACTTTCACAGCACTGACTTGAGGTTAGGCCAACAATGTTTCCTGTGGTGCATGGCAAAATGTACAATAATCTACGTGAGCAT